GGAAGGATGGAAGGCTGAGTCAACCTTGAGCCTGCTACCTGGGATTTGAACCCCAGGTCGTGAGCACAGTTTTAGCTGCAGTACAGCGTTTTAACCACTGCGCCACGAGGTTGGCAAATTATGGTAGTTTTCAGGCCATTTCCTACTATTCCCTAGACTTGCCATAAGCCACATCAGCTTCTTTCCAGTGAAAAACCTCCACCTCATATGATTTAATTCACTGCTAAAACAAGGGGCAAGAAGGCTGTGCCTTGCTTTCTGGAAACATTTGGTGTAGCATTAAACTGTGATTTAGTATTATAGGTACGAGGCCCAATTCCAGAGTAGTCACAAAGAAATTGGGAAGCATTTGCTTAAATTTAGAAATGCAGGTTTACTGTTTCATTTAAACCAACAAGACTGGTTCATTTTATTTACATTTAATCTGACAAGCAACAGAAACCACAGGGTATTCTGGGCTTGTTGAAGCCGACAACAGACTGAATTAGATGCCCCCCCAACATCTCATATTTTCCCAGCCAGCAGTCCCCCTACACAAGAAGAATTAAGTATGCCACCTTCAGAGCTAGCATATTACATTTAATCTCTTGAGCACATATGTAGGAGATAAGTTTTCAGATCGTGCTGATCCGCAGTGTCCCTTAAGATACTGTATGTTCTTGCGGCTCCTTTCACACACAGAAAGCAGCCAGTAGGGCAGTGACAGAACCTTCCTCTGTCACAGCAGGCACACCTCTGACAGCAATCCTCCTTGTATGCCTGCAGAAACGAAAGTCTGTGCAATACTCTGAACCTGCCAGCTGTCCCCATCAAGAGCAGAGAATTGCTCTTTTAACTACTGCCAAGAATGAGGTCAAAAACAAAGCTACCCAAGTTCATTTCTGTTCGTAGATAAATCAAAGCAGTACTGAATTTGTAGATGTCAGCATATGTAAATACAGATATCCAATTTACAAAATATGTCCTTTTACAGTTCTGGTAAAATACATACCTGTGTAGTTTTTCCTGATCCAGTTTCACCCACAATCAAAACAACTTTATTTTCTTTAATAATTCTAACAATTTCATCTTGCTTTTCGTAAACTGGCAGAGATTGTCGAAATGAATCAAACTCTGATTCTCCACGTTTCACTGGGATTTGAGGGATACCATTGTTAAGTCGCCCACTTGTTTTGCTCATCTCTCTGTTCTCTGAGAAAGAACAAAAGAGTGATTTCCATGAACTGGGTATTAATCTACTGTGACATATAACAAACCACTGAATGTTGCTTAGTAGACCAGTAACAAACATATGATAGTTGAAAAGCCACTCCAGGTGACAAAGCAATCTACTTAAACAGTTGCACTGGCAGCTAACAATGGTGCCAATATAGAAGCAGGAAGAGAAGAGAGGTGTTGCTGTGGATTTTGGGCACTAAGAACAAGCAGGAATTTAATAGAAATGTTTAAGGCACTATCCACAGAAAAAGCTATTGTCCATAACTTTCTCTGTCCAACAATATAGCCAAGTCCTGTAAATCCCAGCTAAGCCTGGCATTAAAATCTGGAACATCTTAATGACCACAAAGCAAAAATCAGCAGAAATATAAACAGTCTAAACATCAGTGACATGAGCCACAACAGGTTTTTAGATGACTGGTCAAAATGATTGCTGTCACTCTTCTTGTGACTAGATGTTCTTCCATATGGTCCTTTACACAGACACCCACAGTTTGATGGAGCTGAAGTTTCTCCAGCACAGAACTCCACAGTACTCAGTAACAGAGTAGAACTAGAGTTATCTTTTTCCTTTATATTATGCTTCCAGAATGTTTTCATCCACAGAAGGGAAGAGGAAAATTTCCCCTTATTAACTCTTCTCTCTGCAGACCCTCAAAAACTGCTCCTGACCACTGGGAAGCCTGGTAGAGTGGACACTGAGCAAACCAGCAGCCTCTTTTCTCCCTATCACAATTGGGAACCTCTAAAGAACTGCAAGCTCAATTGTAAATGGAAGACTTATACCAAGATAGGCTTTTTGTTCTTGTCAGCACAGTTTGTACTCACAGGCTAGCTCAGCTTTGCATATTTAACTGTGTCTAACATGATCAGAATTATCAGCTTGCAAAGAGGGGAGTAATTATTCTTCCCTATAAACATTTCCAAAAAACCCAAATGCCAGCAAGCTACTGCCAAATACCGAGGCATCTTAGCATAATGTGATAAACCAACTGAGGTCCTTATATTTAGGAAATCCTGGAAAGGATTGCCATAATTTGGAATTGACTTGGCAGCAGATGGGGAGAAAGCACTGGTCTTGGAAACATTTATTCATTTAAATTTTTCTATGCCAGCTTTCTCCCCAAAAGAACCCGATATAGCAAACTGCATACTTGCAAATTTGTATGCCTCTACAATTGTGACATCATATGCCTTTTAACATGGCTCTTGGTTACACACTTCTCTTTCCATCATTCACAATTAGATCTTTCACAGAAGACACTCAACATACCTGCTTCAACAGCAAATACATTTCCTCTCTCTGTCTTCGGCAAAAGCTCTGTGCGTTCTTTGTTGGTGACAGGAAATCTCTGTACTAGGCTCCTAATTGCATGCTTTGTATTCAGAGTCAAATTACAGGTCATCACTGCATGTGCCAATTCTGATCCATCTTTTTTCTTCACAGTGAGATATCTGTTTGCTCCTTTCCTACAAAATTAAAATATTTCATATTTATCACCCAAATGGTCTTTATACCAATAGACCAAGTAAGGGACCTAAGTAGACCAAATAAATGCTACTAGAAAATTAACGGTTTCAAAAAGTCTATCTCAAATTAGGATCCCGTTGTAAGTACCAGTATCAGTTTCTTTCAATTATCATTATCTTAAAACTGTTTAGTTTTTAAGTCTAAAATATGATTTGGTTGTTTTCCCAATATGTTTCAGATTTCCTCATTTATGACACAATGAATACTATCATAGCCTTGGGTTCACAGTGGGATACAGAATCAGCTTATTACTAAACATTACTATTATATAATACTATTGTTGTCAGCAGTCTGACAACAAGCTGGATCAGTTCCGCATACTTTTATAGCATTATATTACTAAACATCTGCTAAAAACCTATAACCTATGATGTGTCTTTGTATCAAAGGTAAATGCCCATCATAGATTCCATTTTAGGATAAACTATTCACCTGCATATTCCTTTTCAGGTTCTGCACAGAAAAAGACTAAGAACAGTGCCCTCTTTAGGTTGCTTTCTGTGTTTCTACATGACCACTGAGGACCCAGATACAGCAACCATAATGGTTTACGAAGTCCAACTAAGAACATAACTATGTTTTTAAAAGTCCAATTCAAACTGGTAAATGTGCTATTAGTTGACATATACTAATTTTTCAAATTCAAAGAAAACTGTAAAAATGAATTATCTTCTGTAACAGGGCTTTAATGATGTAGGAGACACCAAAACTTATTTTACAGTGATTCTGTCTAAGCTTCCAGTTACAAGCTTTCACCCCCTCATATGCTATAGGGATAACTAAGAGTTCACTAAGACTGCAACAGAATTAGACAACTAGCTTCAAATATCTCATATTCCAAAGGTTATTCACATATTTATCCTCTGAATGAATTTCCCTGAAAAAGCACTTTCCATTCATTTGCTCTATTTCAGCAGCAAGAAAAAAGAAAATAAAACTAAGAGGTTTTGTGTCTTCTTGTATGAGGCTTTGCAAATTATGATCCATTGTCTCCCCTACAGCATAATATGTTTGAATATATGGACTGTACTCCACCAGAGCTCACACTGATATAAAACTATTAAAACTTAAAGCTGGCTGAATACTTTTGCTTTGTTCCTAAAATAAAAAAACAGGCTAAATGTCTTATTTATCAATAGCAAAATTATAGTAGGGTGTTATTAACTAGGATGTTATTAATTAGAAAAACTGATTTCAATTAGCTTTACTTTCAAGCAGGCATCAACAAGTTTATAACTTTAAATATCTTTGCACCATACAACATTATCTCTGAAAAGCTATTGAAATCAGAAACAACAGGATAACTGAAGTTGTATACCCATAACTGCCAATGTTTACTGCTGTTCTGTTGTCAACCTCACAAAGCATGGTGCAGGACAAACTGGTGTAGGCAGTGGCTGTATAAGTTGGAACCCATACATGGCCACTTGAAAGCAACATAAACTGTTAGTAATCACACAGAGAACTGTTGAACCAGAAACATGCACGCCCTCCTCACATGCAAGAAAGACCTGATACTGTCAGAAATGCGGAAATATGGAAAACTAAAATGTACCAGAAAGACTACTTCTGACACACACATGCTCACTCATGTAAATGGAAATATCATTATTATTCAAGATACTTACCCCTTACTTTTGGAAATCAGACCAAGAGACTGACTCAATCGGTGAATGAATGCTCTTTCAGTACTGGTCAAAGACGATGGAAATTCCATTTCTGGAGAAACACAGGATATATATTCAACCATCTCAATGTTTTTCTTCATGATGAAGCACAACCATTTCTTAAGAATAATAAACTGAGATTGCAGTCTTGAGCATATCTACCTGGGAGTCAGTCTTACCTAATTCTAAGGGGTCTGCTTTACTGTAGATATTTATCCTAGTTGGTCATGAAATTCAGAGTGACTTTGGCTCAGATATTAGTGTCATCTGATAGATGTAACCCAATGAATTTAATTAGCAATAGATTTTAGATGGGCCAAAGTAGGCCCTTCGTACAATGTATAGTTTAACATTTAGTTACACAGGGGATTACTGTCACACATTCCAGCAATCACAGTTTACTTGGCTTCAAATTATATTAGATAACAGGGGACACACTGATGAACCATTGTGAGCCACGTGGTGAACTACAAGCTCTCTCTCAAAATACGTACAGTGTCTAAGACAGTGGTCCCCAACCTTGGGCCTCCAGATGTTCTTGGACTTCAACTCCCAGAAATCCTGGCCAGCAGAGGTGGTGGTGAAGGCTTCTGGGAATTGTAGTTGAAGAACATCTGGAGGCCCAAGGTTGGGGACCACTGGTCTAAGAGACGATGACAAACTATGAGGGCTGTCCATAACTATCACTTCCTGCCTGTGAAACTTTTAAAAGATGTGGCTGCCACTGTTGCAAACAGTGTAGAGTCCTGTGACCTGGCAAGGCAATTACATTTCAACCACTAGGCCCTTTATAAGAACATTTGTGCATGGGTATATATATTTCCAACACATATACATGGTCTTGAAAACAAAAAGGGGTATTCCCATACTTTGGATAACCAAGGTCCCACTTTAATTTCTGGTTTCAGTTTCAATTAAATGGCCTACAGAGCAGCATGAAAAAAAACCCCAATCTTTTACTGCTCTAGACTCTAGAAAGCTGTCAGGTCACCAACAGATCAACTCAGATAAGCTTGGGGGTGGGGGATGCTTTACTTGACACAATATGTTTCATCAAACTGAGCCAACATGGCCAAGGGTCAGAAACGACAGCTGTTGCACAAACATGGCAGAGAGACAGACAGAGGGAAAGCTGTTGCAGCATTGGGTTGGGATGGGGCCCATTAGTGAATGACAACTGTGCAACCACCATGTAAGTTAAAAATAAAGTCAGAAAGAAAGAAAAGTGTTCTAAATCTAAATGCACACTTGGGCGAAAGGTGAGGCCCAGCTTTTATAACATAGTATAACACACTATATGTTTATATGTTGTATGCTGGGCCACCACATACAATGGGAGCTAAGGCTCCTGTCCCTCTGCTGGCCACAATTACAGTTGTGTTCAAAATTATTCAAAGGCTCCTGTACCTCTGCTGGCCACAATTAATTAATCTGGGCAAAGGAGGCTCCATAATTACAGGCCCCTCCCCACCCCCAATGAGGAGAGCCAGCAGGGTGTAGTGGACCCTGTGTATTACTAGACTAGGACTCAAGGTAGCTGGAGTCACCCCCGGGCCTGACGCGCCCTCTCAGAATGATCCACCTCACAGGGCGGTTGTGAGAAGGAGCGCCCTACACGTTGCCTTCGGTTCGCGGGAGGAAAGGAAGGGTAGAAATCGAGTAATTAAAACAGCCCGCGCACTTAAGAGGCTGCTCTGGCTTGGGTTGCGGCTGCTCACCTAACTCTACCCACAGGGCTCTTACACGGCTGTGGTGACCCGGCCTGTCAACTTTCACGACGGCAACCCACAACAGCAACAACACCCCGGCGGGTCTCGGGGTGCTTTTAAGACGGAGGCACCCTGGAAAGGAGGGGAGGGACCCGCTCCCGTTTCCGAGCCTTTGCCCGGAGGGAGAGAGGGAGGGCCGCCGCCGTTGTTACCTCGCTGGTCCCCATAGCGGAACCGCTCCAGGGCGATGTTCACGGCGATCTTCACTTCTTCGTCGATGCGAATCTCCTTCAGCCCCTTGGCCCGGCCGCCACCGGGGCCAGAGGACGACGCCGACGAGGCGGAGGCGGCCGCGGGGCCCGCCGTCTGGGGCCCACCTCCCGGAGGCCGGGGCGAGACGCTGCTGGGTCGGGACATCTCCTGACCGCGGAAGAGTCTCCTTTCCTCCGCCTCTGGCCTCAGCCGAGCACGACGACGACGACCGCCGGCGGCGCCTAAGCCAGGCCGGAAGAACGCCTTGGAGCAGAGAAGGAAAGCGAAAGGAGGAGGAGGAAAGGCAAGCCCCGCCCACGAGGGTGCAGGGGGCGGGGCCTCCGGCTGGCCGGGATGGTGTCATGGCCTCCTGGGCGGGAAAAGGGAGAGGCGCCGGAAGGGGCGGTGAAGGGGGGGAGGGGTGCGCTCGTCCTTCTGACCCCTTCTCAGTACTGTACTCAAGTTTGTACAGTATTTAAAACGTTACCAATCTGGAGCAGCCCCCTTTAGCTCTCTACGTGTTTTTTTCCCCTCGGGGCTCTCCAATTTCGGGGAGCGGAGTGGCGGAAAGCTCTAGACGTCTGGGGTTGCACATGAGCCAAAAAGGGGAATAAAGACCATGAGAAAGTATGCTTGAATAAAACTGAATAATCTTTAAGCCGCTTCTGGGAGTTTAAACTGCCTTTCTGCTGCAAGCATTGGCAAGCGGTAACTGTTCTCATGGTGTTTTCCATTTGATTCGGTTTAGTCCTGCGGGCCAATTGCTTCATCAGATCAGGAATAGGCATCCTTCAGTCTCGAACCCTAATTAACACAAAACAGTGGGAACCTGTGTTGTTGCCCATGTTGAACTGCATCTCCTGTGATCCCTAAGCATTGGTTCGGCTGGCTAGGACGCATGGGAACTGGGCTTCCGACAATATCTGGAGTGCCACATGTTCCCTATCCCTGTATAAAAGCCAGAATTATTGGTGGAGTTGGGTTGTTTATTTTCAGTACAGTATTAGTAAAACCTTACCAGCCTAGCCAATAAATAGTCAGATAAGGTGATCTCTTTACCTGTAATTGCTATACGTACTGACTCATTTGTCATGTGCCTTCAGGTTGCCTCCGCCGTGGTAACTATATGAATAAGTAATGTCCAAAATGTCTGCCCTCAAGTAGCCTCCTTACAGGAACTTATGGTGGCCATATGAATGAACAATCTCCAGGATGTCCTCTCCAAAATAGCCCTGCTCAGCTCTTCCAAAATCATACCTGTGGGTTTCTTTATGGAGTCAGTCCATCTCACAGTCTTCTTTTCCTGCTACCTCCCACGTTTCCCAGCATTATTGTCTTTTCCAGAGAATCCTGGCTTATGATGTGCCCAAAGCAGGTTAGCCCCATCTACAACATTTTTGCCTGCAGGCTTTATGTGATCTAGGACCCATCTTTTCATCTTTCTGGCAGTCCAGAAACCAAACTTCACCAAATTTCAAACAAATCAATATTTTTCCTGTCCAGCTTTCACACCCATACATAGTGATTAGGAATACAAGAAGGTGGATGATCTTGATCTTGGTCTCCAGTGGCAACTCCTTACAGTTGATGAACTTTTCTAATTCCTTCATTGCTGCCCTTCCTAATTTCAGTCTTCTGATTTCTTGGCTACAGCCTCCAGTAGGATTGATGATTGAACCAAGGTAAAATAATGAAGTTTTTCCACCCTGTTGTATGACTATTTCTTTTCAAAGTACTACTCTGCCACCCCATTATGTTGGTTACCCTTGGGTCTTAAGGGGTATGCTAGTTGATTAAAAGGTCTGGTAGATTCTAACATGGTGGTAAGGTTACACTAACTGCCCTGGAAGCAGGCTGTGCATTTGGCATTGGAGGACCAAGCTAGCTAACTGTAGAAGGGATCCTCTCCAGGAGGTTGGCTGCCAGGAGATGAACTAGCCACAACAACGATGAGCCCAACTGCAGTGAAAAATCATAGAATTGTCATAGGGTTGGAAGATACCTTGGAGGTCTTGTAGTCCAACCCCCTCTCCAAGCAGGAGACCTCATACTATCCTGGACAGATGGCTGTCCAATCTTTTCTTGAAAACCTCTAGCAATGGGGCACCCACAATATCGGGAGGCAAGCTTTTCCACTGCTTAATGGTTCTCACCATCAGGAAATTCCCCTTAATTTCCAGGTTGACGAGTTTCCACCCATTGGTTCTTCTTCTGTTCTCAAGCGCAATGGAGAATAAATTGATGCCCTCTTCCCTGTGGAAACCCTTCAGATATTGGAAGACTGCTATCATGTCTCCCCTCAGTCTTCTCTTCATTAAGCTGAACATACTTCATAGAATTTAGCTTCCAGTTCTCTTATCATCTTTGTTGCTCTTCTCTGCATCCCTTCCAGGGCTTCAGTGTCTTTTTTGTATTATGGTGACCAGAACTGGACACAGCACTCTAAGTGTGGCCTCACCAGCATGGTATAGATTGGTACTATCACTTCTCGTGATCTTGATGCTATCCCTCTGTTGATGCAGCCTAGGACTGTGTTGACTTTCTTGGCAGCTGCAGCACACTGCTGACTCATCCTTAGGTGGTGATCACCTAAATACCTCTCACAGGTACCACTGTCGAGCCAGGTACCATCTATCCTGTACCTGTGCATCTGGTTTCTCCTGCCTAAGAGCAGGACCTTACTTTTCCCATCACTGAACTGCATCTTATTGGATAGGGCCCAATGTTCAAGTCTGTCTAGATCCTTCTGAATGTTGAGTCTATGTTCCAAAGTATTAGCAAATCCCCCAGCTTTGTGTCATCAGCAAATTTGATTAGTGCTCTTTCAGTCCCCTCATCCAGGTCATTTATGAAGATACTGTATTGAAGAGCACTGGGTTTAAGACAGAACCTTGACGGACCCCACTGCACACTTCCCCCCACATATATGTAGTTCCATTGAGGACCACATGTTGAGTGCGGTTGGTCAGCCAGCTGCAAATCCATCTGGTAGCTGCACTGTCTATCCCATTTTGAAGTAGGTTGCAGTCTACCTTATCAAATGCCTCACTGAAGTCTAAATATACTATATCCACTGTATTTTCTGTTGGGATATGGCAAGATCCAACATTCTAACTATTGTGCTTAAAGACCTTAACTGTCCCTTTTATCAGTGAGGCTCTATAAAGGGGGATTAATTGTTTTTGTCTCTCCTCTCAAACCCACACTTCACTGGTGCTGACTGATTGAGCGAGGCAGAGACTGTGTGCTTGCCTAAGTTTGTGGGCATTGCCTGAGCTGCCGCCACCCTACTTGCTTTTTCTGTTTGGTATCTTTTGTTATGTAGCTTTAGTAGTTTTATTGTTTTCTTAGGATGTCCTGTTTACCTTTTCCTAAGAGAATTAGATAAAGATCATTACTTAAATTTGTCTCAGTGTCTCAATTTTTTCAACAAATTTGGTAGCAGAAGGTGGTTTTGTTTTTTCACACTGACAAACTACTTTTGAGACACTGGAAGTTGCTGCTGTATTTGAACTTTTAACAGGTAAAACACCTTCAGTTTTGGTTTAAAGCATATAAACATTTTGGTGCTAAAGCATATAAACATTTTTGGTGCTAAAGCATATTCCATTGGTTTAGACTGAAATTCTATGGGGCAAGCCTTCCCCAGGTCCTTTCCCTGCTTCTACAGGTGTTGAATTAGTAAAAGTAAAAATCAACCTGTATTAGTATGAGCAAGATATACAAGAAAACTGAACTTGCTTAATACACTTTAAACAACTCCTAAACTAGTGTCTTGGATTACAAACAATGCATTAGATCAAAGTTTGAATTTGGCATGCTTTTGCACAATTAATGTGAATTTTGATGTTGTTTGCATGCTGATAATTTGTCAAACTTTGGCCCATATGCCGTTAGTTTGAGAGCAACACATGCAGCACTCAGGTCATCTGTCAGCCTCTTTCTGGTATCAGATTTGATATAATTCAAAGCTGCAAACAGCTGCTCACAAGCATAAAATGACCCAAACAGAGCAAGAAGAGCAATCCCAAGTGCATTCATTGACTTAAAATTATTTGGCAGAGAATTCCACACTTTAAGGATTTCACTTTCAGAAATCCAACTGTGCTGTCCTTTGTCATCCCTTCGCACTCTGTCTTCTCCAGTGTTGCACACGGGTCATAGAATTTATTTTTCCAGATAAAGTTTTCTTGAAATTCCAATAGCTCCATTTCCAGATTTCTAAAATCTAACCAGTGTAAGCAGGAAAGATCAAGTTCTTCAAATTTGGCTTTATCTGGGAAGTAAGAAAACACAGGGTTGTCTCCATCTTATGGAACTGTGAAAATCTGTTCCTAAAATTCTCCTTTGCAGCTGCTACAATGCTAGAAAATTCCTTGTAGATTTCCTGATGGCTTGTAAGATTGTCTATAAATGTCAAATTTTCCAAATGCATGTTTAGATTTGGAAAATATTTCAGCTGCCCACTTTCAAGGTCTCTCTCAAAAACCTGCGTTTTTTTCTCAAATGTTCTGATGTCTCAAAACATTCTTTGTGCTGTTTTCCCTAAACCTTGCAGTTTTTTGTTCAGTGCATTGAAGTGTGCTGTAAAATCTGTAAAAACATGAGGTTGGTAAAGCCCAGGCCATACCAGTGAGCTGTGGATATTCTTGCTCCTTTTCAGTCATAAACAGCCTAAATTCATCTAAGCAGGCTGCAAATCTCTCCAGGACTCATCCTCTGCTCAGCCACCAGACGTTATTGTACATAAGTATTATACTGTGCTTGAACCTCATTGAAAAGTGCTTGAAACTGTAGAAAATTAAGAGCATGAGCCCTGACCTAATTCACCATTTTTGTGACGTCTCTGAGGATATTGTCTAATTTTTTGCTGCTTTCCCTGGCACAAAGAGCTTCTTGATGTATAATACAATGAAACTGAATGACTGAATTTTGCTTCTTTAATAAAGAAACCAGATGTTAACCCCACCATGCAAGGTGCCCTGTCACTAGTAATTGAAACTATTTTTTCTGCTCTTATGTCTTGTGACAAAAACGCCTCCAGCGCAGCATTGTAGACCTCTCTCCCTTGATTTCTTCCAGGCAAAGACAACCGTTTCACCAGCTCTTCTCTCATGATGTCACCAACAGCATAACGCAAAATTACTGCTAGCCTTGCATGATTATTTATATCTGTGCTTTCATCACTTGCCATACGCAAGACTCAATCTTTAACAGTATTTTTGCTAATTTCATCTCAGAGATGTGTTGCATAACTTAGCCTTGTTTGGGAAATCATGAAAAATGGAATTACTC